ATCCGTCCCTGTGTCGCCAACAAAGATTATGGACCCTATCCCAAAATCAAGAAGCCACCCACCTCCACCCGCTTGGGCTCCGTCTCTATCCACCACTTTCACCCAGTCAGGAAAAAGGAAAAAACGAAGAAAAAGAATTAGTTCCCCAATGCAGAAGAAATCTGTAAAGTGGACAGACGAGATGCAGAGAGGAACCTTTCCATCCAGAATAGGTCCCCTATTTAAGATTACCTCCGTCGATGGAGGACTCCTACAATTTCCTTAATGCCCCAGGTATGATAACCTGCGTAAGGGACAAAAGAGGTTATTTGAAAGTGTCCTCCCATCTGTTCGAGACAAAGGTCGCCTTAGATCTACGCATGGCCCAGATGGGAACCCCGGAACTTAAAAAACTCTTGAGATTTTGTGCAGGGAGAGTACCGGTAATGCTCCATCCCTCTCTATATAGGGTTTTAAAACTAACCTATCTCATGGAAGTTGGCGGTTTTGACCAAGATCTCTACCGTGTATGTGAATAGGATCTTTACTTTTTTCTCTTTTTCAGACTTAAATCACTTCTATCAAGATAGCTAGTTTGAACGCGAAGATCAGGGTAAGGCGGTCCGCCTACTTCGTGACCTCTTATCGTTCGGTGTGGTGTCGCCGCGATCCAGGAGACGCACTTTGTTCGCAACGTTGATGATTGGGTGTTGTCTAACGACTGTGTCGTCTATTCAGCATACGGACACCGACTGACCAGAGGCATCTCCTTGCCGGTGAAGCGTACTCTGGATGCGAGGGTGGACTTTGTCCACATCGATGCCGTCGCCCGATTTATCGTGACCGATATTGTCATCAAAATTGGTTCGTTCCGGATTGTTGCGATTTATGCGCCCAACGACCGGGAGGAGCGCGTCTCGTTTTTTTCGTCAGCTTGGATCGTTTCTGGTGGATTCGTCGCGCCTAGTCTTAGCGGATGACTAGAGTGGTGTCCTGGGCCCTAAGTTAGACACTGGTTTGGAAATCTGGCGGGAGGTTGGGCGATAGTAGCTTGGTTGATCTGATCGGCGAATTTGGTCTCGTCGATAGATATCAGGTCGATCACCCAGAGGGGAGATGTAGACGTGGGCACGTAGTTGGCCGTCTACCCAGGTATCTAGCTACCTGGATAGAATGTTAGTGAGAAGAGCCGATGTAGATCTGTTTGATTGTCCACCGTTCCACTAGTTATTCATACCACAGTGTGCCCGGGTGGCGTTAGACTCAAGGCCTTTAACGGCTGGATACTGGAAGTTCAATCTGTCTTTGCTGGACAAGCAGGACTTCCGGCAACAGTTGATTAACGTAGTGCAGTGGGAATTAGTGGGGGCAGTTATTGGGAATATGTAGTGGGAGAAGCTTAAAAATAGGATTAGTTCCTTCACCCAATACAGCCAACGGCTCGCACGGGATAAGGTTAACAAGGTGAAGGCACTTCAGGATAGTCTTTCCAGGGCAGTGGCTGGGGAGATTCCCTAGAGATAGACCTTCCTAGAGAGGCCCTGTGGCGCTCGGATAGCGAACGCTACCAGGGTCAGGTTGTTAGGCATAAGTTAAACACGATGTCTGGCGAAGCCTTAAATATGAGCGCAGAATTGCGCAAGGAAGAGATCTGTCGAGATTCCGCTCGTTACATTCGGTAGGTCGATACCACAGAGGAGTGTACTCTAAGGTCAGCTGATGGTATGTGCGAGGCGTTTCGGCGACATTTCGAGAGACGGTTTACCAGGGAGCCTGGTCTCTGTGACGAAGTGTTTCGCAGTTATTTGGCTGACTTTCCTCAGCTTTCACCGACTGAAGCGGCTAACTGTGTGATGGAAATTACAGAAGGCGAAGTTTACGCAGCATTGAAGGGGGTCGGCAGTGGCAAGTCTCGGGACTTGATGGTTTTCCCTATGAATTGTACTTGAGCCTGTCGCACATCTTTGTTCCGATTTTGACTGCCGGATTCAACATCTGATTCCGCCAGGGGTCCGTCTTCGACCGGATCTCCAGGGTTGTAATCACGCTGTTGAAAAGTATAAGAGTGTTGGGAGGGATTTAGATAATTAAATGCCCATAACTCTACTAAACGCAGAGTTTAAGAGTATGGCCATGATCCTGTCGGAGCGTTTACACTCAGTTGCCAAGGTTCTGTTGGGATCCAAACAGACTTGTTCTGCGAAGGACTGAACAATTCAGAGCAACTTACATCTGATCCGCGTGATCTAGAGGGTGTAAAAGACGACGGACAGGCCGTGCTGATCAATTTGGGTCAGTCGACCATCGGTACCTGGCTGCTGTTTTGCAAACCGTCAGGTTCGAACCCGACTTCTCCCGGTGGATTAACCGCCTGGTATCGCTCTCCCAGTATTGTGGTGCACGTGAACAGAAAATGGTCGCGTGCTTTTGCGTTGTCTCGCTCGGTTGGTCAGGGTTGCTCACTGTCGCCCCTATTTTACGCTTCGGCGATGAAGCCCCTCCTTCGCTGGCTGAGGGACAGGGCGTGCAATCTGGCCATACGTGGAATCGCTGTCCCTGGTGGGACTCGAGACAGGGTTTCTGCGTATGCTGATGACGTGTCCACTTCCGTGCGTTCCGCAGCGAAATTGAGGTGGTGATGAAGGCTCGGGGAACTTGAACGGTACGAAATGGTAACTGTGGCCAAGATTAACCGGGACAAGTCTTCCGGCTTGCGTTTAGGTGCCTGGAAGTGGGTCGATTTTCCAGGGCATTCTCGGAGTGAGGTTCGGGCCCGGACTTGGTCAGAAGCACAGGCAAAAGTCTGCGCGTTGGTCGATTTTTGGCCTCGAATGCAGTTGTCATTGAAGGGTAGCACTGATTCGTGTGCCACTTACGTCTTTCCTCTCATCCTTTACCGATGGCTGTACTACCTCTCTGTAAGGAACGTAAGAAGGTGATCGAGCGCTTGTGGGGTGGCCACAAGCATCACATCGGCAGAGATATCTATGCCTAACGTCTGTGTCATGGTTGGGGGGAGGAAGCTGTGAAATCCACGCTTGGCGAGTCACCGATACGCCTCAACGTTGACAGAGGATTCTATCTTGAAATGGAGTGTGAGAGCCGCGTTCCCTTGCCTTGCCATCACTTCCGGTGTCGAGAACTGAGTTCAATCGTAGGCCCCGGGATCAGTTGGATTTTCTCCTCAAGTATCGATCGGCCTTGAGACTAATTCCTCAGTCCAGTGACCTTTCTCGGCCTAGGCGAGTCTTGTATCGGGAATTAGTGGAGGGGTTTGTGAAGGATCCGCTTTGCGGCCGGTTCGGTTTGTTGGCGACCTAGTTGCGCTCTTTCTGGTCTTGGGCGCCAGCGGTGAATTACATCAGCAACCCTGAGTTTTCACTTTCCTGGCGATTGGTTTGGAATCAGCTCTCAATGACGTAGCGTTCAAATGGGGCTTGGAGGATTTGCCAGACTGTCAACGATGTGACCTTGGCTGAGAGGAAATGGCTTCGCACGCCTTCTGCCATTCTTATGAGCATTAGAAAATTCAAATACTGACCCAGTCGAGATGAAAAGGGCGGGCCTAAACAAACTGTGGAGGTTGGGAATCTCGACTTGGATCATAATAAAAGCAGAAGCCGGGAACAGACCGGGAACAACACTTACATTAACTAGGTACACTTGGTTGACTTTCCTGTCGTACTCAACGTATGAGGGTTAAGCAGAAACAGCTCTGTTCCTAGAAACTGGCAGCCCTGACACCAGCACATGATTTGATTATAGTGGTAAAGGCTTTGTGCAGAACCAACCACACTATTTAAAGAGCTGAATACAGAGACTTGGTGCACTACGTGCCACAAGGTCCTCAAACGACCCTCCGCAGGTTTTGAATTCAGAATTGTCATTCTCCTAGACCAGTTGCCATCCAAGGTTATAGAACCCGATCTGTGCTGCTATTGACCCATAAATGGAGGGAGAAGAAAAGGATTAATATCTTTCTCAGCGGTATTAGCACGTAAGTGAATGTAATGGATTCGACTGAAATTCGGCTCTCCAATTCCTCAATCCGACCTGCTATCCACACACACACACACACACACACACATATATATATATATATATATATATATATATATATATATATATATATATAATACACAATTGTACATATTGGGATTTTTAACTTATTAAAATAATAATATCGTTGTTTTTCCCCAGTAGTTGCCAAGTGTGTGAGAGGTATTTTGGTGCATGAAGGAGAGAATGGCGACGGATAAATTTTTATAGTGAATGAGTATACTGTAAAGAATGAATTGATTGTAAATACAATTAGCTAGGTATAAGATAACTAGTGATGATCAACCGTAAACAGTCTCCCCACTTTTTTCGGCCTTGTGTCACAATTACTGTATCAGTAATGAATCTTAGACATGAAATTGCGCCTACATAAAATGACCCGACGTTTTCTAAATTCGTGGTGAGCTCATAAAATCAATACACTTTTTTTTAATACCATGTATCTTCAAAGCATAGCCGATCATGGCTCTCCACAGATTACTTTTCTTGATTATATGTCAATTATCGTGACTTTTTGAGAAAAATAGTGAAATGGTTTACCGTTTTCTTCTTCCCGGTTTTGAATTCTAGACTTACTGCCACTCAAGGCTAAAGAGTCCAGTCTACCAGTCTACTCATAGTTAGAGGAAAGAAGAAATGTATTCGTGCGAAGTAAATGCAAAATAGATCGATAGCTCTCCGATTTTATTACTGACACTGATAACCGTTACACAACATGCGCATTATCAGCACAAGAGATTAAATATGTAACCTCCTTTTAGCATTTCCCTATATTCTCCCCATAATGCTTTTATTCGTCACTTCCCCATTTTTTTTTAAAACCTTCTCAAGCATTTCCTATTTCATACACTTCATCAATCATATGACTCTTTATCAATTTTTTTTTTCAATTTCAAACTTTCGCCTTCTTCGTCTTTGCGAACTCTCTTTGTTTCAATACCAGATTTCTTACCGGTTTAACGCCATATCACACTGAAACACCGGTTCTGGTCCGTTCACCGAAGTTAAGCAGCGTTGAGCTTGTTCAGTGCATAGATGGGTGCCCGCTCGCGAAAACCAGGTTCTGCAAGCTTGGATGTGCGGATGGTGTAATAAATAACGCCTCGAAATGAAAAATCAGCGAGCCGAGTTCAAATTCCAGTCGGGTTCTTTATATCCACTTACGTGCAAATACCCTTGGGAAAGGTAGAAATCCACTTTTGTTCCCTCCCAAGTATGAGTTAAATAATAAAATTTGTATCAGAAAATCATTAACAAGATCTCATCAATTTAGAGTTGAATGGCTAGATGTAAATGCAAATTCTATGCTAACAATTTCTTTTCTCGCACTTCTCACTTGCAGAACTCCCTTCCAACTCCATGCTTTCCAGTTAACTTTGATCTTCAGAAATTTAAGTGCACTGTCAACCGTTATCTACTGTCCTCCTGATTATACTTTTCTCTTCACGCTCATTAGTAATGTTTTTATTCCTAATTTGTACACGCCCCTAACCCCTTGTGTCTTAGTGGCTTTACTGTCTTGCTTGGGGTAAATTCGATTGCAAACAACAAAAAACCTCGAAAACTTCTTACAATGCAAAAATATGTTTTGGCTTTAAATAACTTCAAAAAGGTTGATAAGCCATAAAAAACAAACCAATCAATTAGATTTCTTACTGTCCAAAATGATCGCATCATGTATTTTATGATTTTTGGTTCAACATAGTATTTCTCTCTCTCTCTCTCTCTCTCTCTCTCTCTCTATCTATCTATCTATCTATCTATCTATCTATCTCTTGCAATTCTTACGTTCTAAAAATCTTTCTGGCTTTAAATAACCTACAAAAGGTCGTTAAGCCATAAAAACTAATCAATCAATCTGATGTCAAAGTAGGATGCATCTCATTTTTGGATATCTCAGGATCCAATTTTTCAAGTCTTTGATCCCTCCACTGTTGCTGTTACTAAAGGAAATTAACTGATATCTATCTATCTATCTATCTCTCTATCTCTATTTGTATCTATCTATCTATCTATCTATCTATCTATCTATCTATCTCTATTTGTATCTTTCTATCTCTCTATCTATTTATCTATGTATCTATATGTATTTATCTCTCTATATATATATATTTATATATCTTGTTCTTTGTCAATACAATTAATTATGTGGTGACTTTTAATCATCTAGATTTAACATTATATATTGAAAATTTCAGATCAAAATTTAACTAATAGTAACTATTCGTCCGGTTTACGCATCTATCAAACCTCTTCATGTATTTTTGTCTTGACCTACTTCCTGCGAATAAGGAGAGACGGAAAACTGGCAAATTGATGAATCCTACACGACATCGCTTAAATCCAGAGTTACACATACGCGTGGAAACCTTTCCAAACGCCTGTTGGCATTGCTGTTAGGACTTCACCTCATTAATTAATCTATCATCATCCTCGAAGTGACATTCTTCAAAATGTAACTTCATGGAGGAGTAGAAGAGGTTGAAATCAAATGGTTCCAAACGGAAATAATTTCGTAGGCATATCAGCGTGATTCCATTTGTGCAACATAAGAGTTGTGTACCGGTGGACTGTCTTGTAAGATCCGGGCACCTTTAGTCAATAAAACACGTAAGATGGGCAGTGATAACATATTACAAAGAAAATAAGAGAGAAAGAAAAATGGTTATATTTTCTCATTTGTAGCGATGACGTACTGGTTATCTGAATAAAAAGTGGAATCAGTGATTCGATCTTTTCACAAGAGTATTTGCGCTTAAGCGAATATAACGAACCCGACTGGAATTGGAACTCGGCTCTCCGATTAACAATTCTAAGCCATTATCCATTACACCACCTGCACATCCAAGCTTACAGCACCTGGTATTTCCAAGCAGTCACAAAATGTAGGTACTGACCAGGTTAGTATAGAACTTACGATTATATCTAGCTGAGACCTAGTACTGCGCTTAAATTCAAAAAGTCTACGTACCAAAAAGGGGAGCTGATCAGAACAATTAACATGAAAATATTAAAAGAAAGTTAAAAAGAAAGCTTTGTAGTTGGTTTCAGTTAAGATCTTGCAATTATACTAGGTTTGCTTAATGTCACTCATCGTACGTGAACAGATGTTTCAACGTGATCTGGCCACAAGCCCACATTGAGGACAAGTGCGAAAAGTTTAGAATTCGCATGACAATGTTTTTACCTAATGAAGCTACGCCAATCTAAATAACTGTGTGCATATATTTGATTGTGTATAACAGATTTCTCTAAGGAGATATTTCGAGTCATATACGCTTCATCCATTTTGTCGTTGTGTAGAGTGTATAATATGTATCTGCGTGTAACATATTCATTCGTGTGTATGTATCTGCTTTTAAACTTCTATGAGAGGGTAGGAAAAAAAGCAAGCAAGTGAGAGAATGATTATTCATGAAGAGACTGATGATAAACGATTGTCATTAGGCTCGTAGATTATCGATTGTAGCACTAAATGTTCGTTTTACGCTGTCGAAGCGGAGCCACGACGTTTGTTGTATCAAAAGAAACGTCTCTCTTCAAGTATTTCAAATGTTCTTTGATCCCGACTAGCTAGTAATAATCGGTTGAACCAAGTTAATACTAACTGTACTGGGTACCTTTTCCTTCACAATCCAGTATCTGCCGTAGTTAGTTTTGAAAAATGCGTCCAATATTTGGTTTTATACTTATTTGCAATCGAAAATGTTGCTTAGATGTAGGTATTTAAAAGGTTGCGTATTGGTGTGCGTGTTTTAGGTGTGTGTTCACATATCACGAACAATTAAGAAGAAGCATACGAAAATTTGGGGTTTCTACCACGGACCTTGTAGTCTTCCTTCTTTATATCAAACTGCAGTGAAAAAGATTCTCAATGTCTCTTGGTTATGCGCGTTTTCTTTTCAGTCCAGGAGTTAGGGTATGTATAAACACACTAAAGTCAGACTTGCGCTGAGTTGGAACGACCAAAGTACATACAGCGTGGACAAAGGTAGGCTTACACTTAGTAGGTATGCACTTTATGTTTTTTAAAACATTTTATTACATTTATATTTATTTGTTACTGTTATAAACTGCGTGTTTGTTGTATCATAACTATTAAATGAAATGCCTTGTCTGCAGTTTTAATTCACGGTCCGTGGATGAATATGTGTGCGTGTGTGTGCATCGCACATGGAGAAACCTGTGATGCGATAAGAAGGAAATTATTGCTACTCACGGTTGGCTTGAAATAACCATTTATTTACACGGAGAACCTTACAACATATATATATATATATATATATATATATATATATATATATATATATATATATATATATATATATATACAAAATCACAGTCCCGAGTTACTGAGTTGTGTGTTACAACCATTAGGACAGAAGAATATATATGTGTCCTTATTCCTTGATAGCCATGTTCCAAGTCTGTTGTATTTTGCGCGTCTCGCCTCTCAATGTCGTGTTGATCACGTGACTAGCGTCGTTTGGACAGGGGCAAAAGGAAGGTACTCTGTTTGAAACAGGAAAGAGTTATTTCCCTTGGGATGTATTTTTATTTATCCTAACTGTTACAATGATGTTTGTTCAAAACTGTTTATGTACAGTTTAATCCCTTAAGTGCTCAAAATGTCCTCCTTGTCGAACCTCTCGAAAACACTGTGACACACAACACGACGCAAATCCCGATTTGCATCAATTGCAATAAATACTTCTGAAATGTATTCTTTTAATTCGTCTACTATGTGGGGATTTCTCTTATAAACCTTGTTCTTTACTACATCCCAAAAAAGAAATCTATTGGTGTTTAGTCAGGTGAACGTGGTGGGCATTCGATTCTGTCCTTTCTAACAAAGGGTTTGGTTAAGGTAGTCCCTTACTGCCAAAGCATAACGGGGAGGTGCTCCATCCTGCTGAAAGAACAGTTCGGTGAAGTTATCTCTGGTTATGAAACAAACAGTGAAACAATTGTCAGCCTACATTTGGCCCACCCTGTACTTCATGAGCAACTGCAAAACACGTCCGAACGCTGATGTTAGAAAGAGAAAAGTGGAAGATTCTGTCTTTTCCGGAAGTGAGGGTTACAAAATTGCGTAGATGACCCAAAACCCTTTTCGGTCCTTTTACTGTTTGCATCATGGGAAAATGTATTTCTTTTTTTTATTCTTTATTATTTTATTTGTTGACTTTATTTCGCTTTCCCATAGAACTCAAGAAACAGAAATAACAAGTTGAATCCTCCCCCCACCCCCGAAAAAAACATTTTCGAACGTTACTTCCTTTGAGAATACGAATCCAGTATTTTCTCTATTATGTCCCATTACATGTTCTTCCGTTGTTGTACTAAGCTTACGATCACATTACGTTGAAGTTAAGCAACGTCGAGCCGGTGAGTAGCCAGATGGGTGACCGCTTAGAAATACCAGGTCCTGTAAGCTTGGATGATGTAATGGATAATAGCTCGAAATTGTTAATCAGTGATGAGTTCCCGTTGGCTTCGTTATTTTCACGTACGCACCTTGCGAAAGGTATGAATCCACTTCCGACCCCCCTCCCCGGTCAGCTATAAGTTAATTAATAAAACATGTATCACTAAACCATTATTATCTAAATAAAATAAAATTAAGTACAAAATATTTAGATTTCAGCATTAAATAACCAATAGAAACTAATATGCCACTAAACAGGATCAACCTAACTAAATCATTGTCCATAATTATTTTTCTTCTTCCTCTATTTTCTTTCTTCTTCTATTTCTATTTTTTCTTCTTCTTCTTCTTCTTCTTCTTCTTCTTCGTTTCCCTGCACATCAATCTACGTGAGCGTACGTCCATACTAATCTATCGCAAAGCAAAACGACTTCTTCTTCTTCTTCTTCTTCTTCTCTTTCTTTTTCTTCTTCTTCTTGCCATGTCCCTTCAGGACGTTGGCGATCATAGCAAAGGATTGATAAGCCGTAGAAAACGAATCCATCAATAAAAAATTGTGGATTTAGGTTTAGTTGAAGTGCAATTAAAGAGCATTTAAAATTTATATGTCATTGAAGTTTAGTTAATTCTTCCATGTGCCGC